ACTTCTTAGTAAATATTCCATTAAGAATGAAATCGATCTCGTCTGTATCAATACACTATGATTGTCAATTGGCAATAGCTATAGCAAAAAATAAGAACTACAATGGAAAAAACAGACATATACATAAAGAATGGAACAATTTCCATTGACTATGTGAAGTCAGAATGGAATCTAGCAGATCCTCTGACAAAATCCTTAGCGAGAAATATGATTTTAGAAACATCGAGGGGAATAGAAATTAAGCAACTTGCAAATAAACAGGTGATGGTAACCCAACCTTTGTGATTGGAGATCCCATGAATAAGGTTCATATGGGTAAAAACAAGTCAATTGTTAGTTCTACTAGCACTAAAATTGATTAAAATCAATTATGTCAATTCCTATGGTGTATATGTGAAAGTGCTAGATACTGCATCATTGAAAGGTTAAACTTTGTAATTAAAATTTTATGTGGTGTACGAATTTTAGTCTAAACAAAGTTTTTAACGATTTTATATCTCTTAAGGGTGGTGTATGATTTGCAGCATACGCTTGATGAAGTCACCTATATGAATGTCAAGTGGGGCCGCTTGTATGAGATCTTTGCAAGATTTATAGAGCACTAATGAATACTGGGCACGCGCATGGCCTAATAAGCGCAACATAGCGATAACAACAAGAATTATGGGGGTATATTGTGATTATTAAAACCGCTAACACACATTAAGTATTTTGGTTCATATAGTTTACTACACTAACTACACTGTGTGTTAAGTTTTTTAGTCTAAGACTGATTCATATAGCTTGTTATACCAGCTCTGATGCATTACATCTTATATGTTTCAAGAAAAATAATTAAGATGTTTTAGGGACATAGGTGTGAATCGTAAAATTAAGAGGAAATTTAATAAATGGTATGTGATATCATGTCTATGAAAAAAAATGGAATGCACTAAGTTTTAGTAACGAAAAATTTGACTTTGAGTGTGTACTGCAATACATTGTCTATGTGGCATAATTATAGCTGAAAATAAAAATAAAATTGGTATTGTTGTACTGCAATACATTGTCTTTGAGTGTATACTGCAATACATTGTCTAAAAAGTTTGTTGGGACTTGATTTAGGTACGGCGTTGTTTTGTTGTGTAATTGGTATTAATTTTTATTTATATAAATAAATTATATTTTTCTGATTAAAACAAATTAGATACAACTTCTAAACTTGCAATACCAAATAGAATATAGAAGTGAGTGAGAATCATATTAAAATAACTAGATATTGACAAATTAACGTAAAAATTTGAGGTAAGATTTCCCTAATACACTACAAGAAATATTAAAATTACTCACGGTCAAAATTCGTCGGTAAATGAGTATTACCGATAGATAAATCCATCGGTAATCATTTTACTATTTATTAACCCTCCCCGGTACCTTAGAGTTAAAGGCTAATACTCCAACCACTAAGCTACTTAGAATTTTTTTATAACAATTTACAAATAAATTATATTTATATACAAATATACAAATATATTTATATATTTATATACAAATATACAAATATATTTATATATTTATATATTTATATATTTACATATTTACATATTTACATATTTATATATTTATATTTTTATATTTTTATATATTTATATATTTATATATTTATATTTTTATATATTTTTATATTTTTATATTTTTATATATTTATATATAATTAAATATTTATTTTTTAAAATTATTTAATTTAATAAATTATTATAAATTAATCTAATTATGATTAAATTAAATTATTAAATAAAAATATTTTATTTTTTAATTAGGTGAATAATTAAATTATATTAAGTAATTATTATATAATTTTATCAACGGATATATCCGTTGGTAACTAATTATTAATTTATCGACGGAAATATCCGTCGGTAAATAATTGCTAATTTAGAGATGAATTTACCGACGGATATATTCGTCGGTAATTAATTGTTTATTTATCGACGGATATATCTGTCGGTAAATTCATCTATAAATTATCGACAGATTTATCGACGGATATATCCGTCGGTAACTAATTATTATTTTACCGACGGATATATTCGTCGGTAACATCAAATTCCCTAAATATTTTATATCCATCGGTAATTTCCATCGGTAATGATTATTTTTCGACGACTACAAATCCCGTCGATAAAAATCCATCGACGATTTTCTTGTAGTGATAAAAATAAAGATTACCCAATAAAAGGATGTCAAATGAGCAAGCTAAAGCAACTACACATGAAGCTCATGTTTAACCAGAATTTCTCATTAAAAGCTGAACTTAAAAATGCTTAAAGGAGATTTTGCCTTAATTAATGGCAATCTTGTGTTAAGAACAACAAAATTCCAAATTACCAGCTCTTATGGAATCTATTATGGTGTGACGTTGATGATGTTGAAATCTATTTTAATTATTATGCACGAATGCCACATTCGTATTGGAGGAAGATAAAGGTAACAAACTTTTAGCATACTATTTATCTTCCCAATTTTGAATGATTCAATGTCACTAAGAACATTTCTCAGGAAAACAGTTTGAATGTTGGAAAGGCTAATTTGATTGATGGAATACAATTTCAAAATCTATTTTGCATGTTTTAAAAATCAAGTTTACATGTCTCACATCTTCAGGAATGAATTGGATGATTTACTCAAAATATATTTCCAAAAGCATAATTAAAAGACAAATTGAGGTAATTAGTCTCAATTCAATTCTTATTTCAACCAACTTCTTTAAAAGGAGAATAGAGGCAAAAGTTCCACAGTCACTTGAAAAAATCATTAAACGTTTTTCATATTTTCTTTATTTGTTGACTATGACCTATGCATTATGATCTCTCAAATAATTCTGCACTTTCATTAGTGGGAAGATGAATTATTTGCACAATCCTTATCCACCTTTTTGGCACCACTATATAGCTGTAGCCAAACAAGTTGCCAAACGCCAAAATCATGAAAATTAACCCAATTAATGTCTCCATTATTTTTCTATTATACTATAAAAAGTTGAGGCATTAATTTTTTAAATGTTATATAAATTTTTTAACTTTTATACCTTTCACATAATTAAGGGTTGTTTGATTTAATTATATTTTTTAATTTTTAAAAATAGGTAGAAACATAAAATCTTATTTTTGATAATTATATTTATGAAAATTATTTTAAACAAAAAAGAATAACATAAATACCTGTAAAAAATCGTAACAAAAGTTAAAAACTATAAAAACTAAAAATAATTAACAAATAGAACAATTAGTGAGAAACTAATAGCTTTTTATATTATTAATACATATACTATTTACTTTAGAAAATAAAAGATTATTAATGTTTCAAGAAGACCAATAGAGTCACTTCAATGAAGAACTTCTTCTATTCTAAACATGTATAATGTAAATCTTTTTAGACATTGATTTTGCGTTTTGCAATTGTTAATTTATTTATTTATTTCTCTAATTCAATAGTAGTCATTAATGTTAGATAAATTTCAATACTTAGCCTTCTACATTCTTTAAAATTTTATTCTCAGTTTCTTTTATGATGTTAAATTTATACTATTGAGATCCAAAGGTGATACGAATCACAATGGGTGATTTAGGATCTGTAGGATTAAAACTTATAAGAAATTTAGGAATTTAGTGATAAGATGAAAGAAAAGAATCACTCTTTCCAAGGAAGACAACTCACAAAGGATATGAAAGTCCTTTGATATAGCCAAGGGTTCTTGAATCACTCAAAAATTTAGGAGAATCACTCTTACTAAGATAAAAGAGATAAACTCTAATAGGTCTCAATAAAATTCCACTTGTTATTTTTGATAAAAATGGTTCAGACCTATATAAAAGTTTTGCCATCGAATTACAAAGATTTAATAAAGAAAAATAAATGTTAATAATTATTTATTAACCTAGGATTGTAAACTACTTAATGGAGACAAATAAAAGCTAATAATGATCCATTAACCTAGAAATTGAAAACTACTTAATGATTGATTGTAACTGAAATTGTGGCATCCAAAAGTCAATCAGTTATACAATCTCTTGGTCTCCCAAAGACTAATAACTAAATTTTCAATTTGGCCCTTATTACAACTTGCAATAAAATCAAACTAAAGCTCATTAATTGATTAATCTAAAACACAATTTGATCAACCAATAATACTTGTTAAAGAGTTTCATTTGTTTTCCTTGCTCTAGCCGTTATCATAGATTATGTTCACATCAAAAGGACACTACAATTTTTTTATCGGTGTTTGTGGCTATTTTTAATTTGGTACGAGTGTGAGATATGGATTAATTGCTGCTAATTTTGATTATATAATTATTGCATGTAAAGGTTTAATTTTCTATTTTTCTGACTTTAGAAAAAAAAAAAGGATTGAGGAAAGTTTATTACCATTTACTATGTCATAGGTGCTAAGCTATTTTTCTTCTAACTTTTACCATTTACTATGTCCTGTAGAAATCTTCTAGACACACTATCAGGAATTTGACATGGAAGAACTAGAGATTCTGATTGCATATTCCATATCAAGATCTAACTGAACATATTTAAATGTCTAATTAACTTTAATTATTTCATTAATAGTTGATAAATAAAATGTGTTTTTAAGTTCGTAATTTTATTCTTATAATGATGTACTAATGTGAATGAAATACTTGATACTGATATAATTTGTGTATAATAATAGTATATACATATATGACATAAACAAGTTGAAATGTTATTTTGTTTGTGTACGTGTGTACATTGCAATGGTTTTGACACTGATAGAATTTGTAAACGTGAGTGTGGGATATAAAAAATTTCTAACATTTTCTCAAAATTTTCTCCATAAATAAATACTTTAAGATGGTAAGTTAAATTCAAAAAGACTAGTCCTTTATGTCGAGTATATTACCAAGAACATAACAAGATACATAGTTATACCAAACTTAATTAACATGGTTTGCATAACAAAGTGGAAGCTATATATACTGAAATGCATACACCTACCAATCAAGATTATCTATAATCCCCATTGCCACATCACAGATATGCTTCAAACCATCTTCTCTACGAGCAAGATCTAGAGGATAAGTCAAACCCGGGTACCGTTTGAAAGCGTTGTGGCAAGCATTTGGATAATCTCTGGCAGCAGTTATGTGCATGTAAGCATAGTCATAAGCCTCATTAAGCAACTCCTGCACCGAAGCTTGGAGGGCATCACCAGCATATGTGTACTTATCTGCACACTCCTTGATGACACTTTTCAAGGTTGTGTTGTTGGAGGGGCTAAGCAACTTGGAAGACAAGTAGGAGGAAGTGGAGGTGGCATTGGTCATTCCAATCCCAATCATAATCACAGCTAGGCCCTTAGGATCTGCGTTTGGACTACTTGGATCGGATTTGAGGGAAGAGAAGCATAGATTGTAGTACTTGGTGTTCTTGCAAGTTCTCTTGATCAAAGTGGCATCTCCATTCACACATGCATGTTGACGAGGATATGCTAGAAAGAGGAGAAACAGGAAGTAGATCTTAGAAGGCATTATAGAGTATAGGAGGGTGTTGGTATCTTGAAATTTTTTGAGGGGGAGGGGTTAAAAGAAAGGAGACAATTCATATATAGAAAAGTGGGGCAATAAAGTCAAGAGGTAGAGTTATATGATTCCTTTCTTCTTAAGATCTAATTTAGATCTGCTTTGTCTTGTGTTTTCATGATTACATGTATACTTTACTTTAATCTTTAGGTTTTAAGGGTAAGGGGATGTAAAATTATCACAATATTTTATGTAGGAGTAGTAGCTGTATATAGCACATAACAGATGTACACAGTTTGATCAAGTGTCACGTGATAAGCTCTGTTCATGAAAGAATCTCTTCTACTAGGAAATTATTTTTTGCTTCAAGTATGGTTTTTTGGGGGAATAGCCTTAAGTTGTCAAAACGAGTTGGTCTTTTCTTCTTGTATTTACTATACTCTTGAGAGATTCAAGGCTTTATTTGGATGGTAGAAAGTATGCTACTCATAATGTTATTGTTGTCTGCTAGCAAACATTTCATAGCCTAGAGTCACGGGTCAGAAACCAACAAGAATTTAGACTCTCAAACCAATATAAGCATATGGTTTGAAATGTTCCTGCTTTGGCAATTGGAAAAGGCCGCAACATTTGGACTGTCACAGTGGATTGGCCACTGAAGAAGCTTTAGCTTCCAATTATTGGCTTCTTTTTACAGACGTAAAAAGTAACTAAACTTTTATGATTAGTGACTCCACTTTATTGAAAGTTAAATTTCCAATACCCTGCATTGTTCTTAGCATAAAAAGCTGTAATAAACTGATACTAGGTAACATTAAGATTCTAGAGATTTTTAATAGACTGTTCCAACTTAAGATTATCAACTTCAATCCCACTCAATGATGATGTATAGAATATATATATACTTTCAATACATGAGTAATTTGTTTTATTCTGTATAAACAGGATATTTGCATGAGTACAGAACTTCCCTATGACATTTAAAGCAAATTTATGAAGATTGTTTTGTTACAATGATCACAGCTACATACATGCTCAATTATATTTTTTTTTTTTTTTGCAACACTCAAAGTAGTAGTTTAAAAAAATTCTATGCAGTCATGCGGATTATGCAACGCAGGCTCTCCCCTTTAAGCATATATCCAAAGGCTTTGTTGATTTCAGCAAAAGGTACTTCATGGGTGATAAATTTCTCCAGTTCAAGTTCCTGTCACATTTAAAACAATAAAGAAGAAAAAGAGTTAGTTTCCAAGTCAGGAGCAGTTGCAAAAGGTTGACATGAAGTATCAGAAGAGAGAAAAGGAAGTTTCCCAGTGAAAAGCAATGAGAAAGGTTGATAATACATATTTTTGAGTGTGTAAACCCAACAACAGCACCATTTAGTCAACGAAAGCTACTTTTCACATAGAAATTTCTGTAAACTATACAATTTTTCCTGCATGTTTTGACTAAAGATACTTTTATCTGTAATCATAGAAAAACCAAGATTGATCTGGTGACATGTTACATGTAACATGTTATCATGATTATGATGGTTTCCAATCACAGAAAAACCAATACCCCTTACAACCTCGAATCTCAATTAAAGTGTGTAACCGACTAGCCTTGTTCATGTGAGTCACTAGTTCCAAATTCAAACAGTGATCTTATTAATGATGTAACCGACTAACCTTGTTCATGTACATCTCCACCACTGATGGGAGATCAGAACGCGGTTTGTAGTTGCCAAAGAAAGTACCCTTGAGAGTCTTTTCGTTTAGGACATTAATTGGATGAGTTCTGAAAGCATCATCTTTATTTGGCACACCAACAAGTACAGCAAGACCCATCCCTAAAGAGTTATACAGAGGAAGTCAGAATGAGAATTTAGGACTTAGCATTTAAAGAAATGGATTGATACAGAGCTGTTAAAATCATGGAAATCAAATGATTGGAGAAGAAGCTTGAGGAACATTACATCGTGCACACATTCAAATGCTGAGATCATAGCATGGACACTTCCAGTACACTCAACACTTCATCAACTCCCCCATCAGTCATTTCAGCAATCACCTGAAATGAATTGAAGAGATTCAAGTAAGTGTAAAAGAAGTACATAATTTCATGACTGATCAGTTAATAGTAGGTGACAAACCTCTTGAACTGGCTTGTCATAATCTTTTGGATTCACAAACTCAGTAACTCCAAACTTCTTGGCTGTAGACAAGAATAAGTACATTCAGAACTGAATCAATGCAGAGTTAAGTCTTTGATGTATCAGGATCCTCAATAGCAAGTTGATTATGGTGCTTATGAACATGTTTGCAGAAATAGGTTAAATAACAATATATTTAACAAATTTTTATTAAAAGTGAGTCTATCAAAACTTATTAGAATAAGCTAAAAGGAGCTTTTAGAAATATGATAAGCATCTTCCATAAGTTCAAAAAAAAATTCTTCCAAGTGCGTATGTAATGCAAGGAACTCTTCCAAGTGTGTATGCAATGTAAGGGCATGTGTGTGCGGGTAGAAGGTTTTTTAACTGTTTCACTCACCTTCTGCAAATCTCTTGGAATTCAAGTCAACCCCAATTATCCTGGAAGCACCAGCAAGTCTGGCTCCCTCGGCAGCCTACAGAAAATGTAAAAGTGAAAACAGTTAATAAGCGGTAACAGATGCACCAAAATTTCCTTTTATTTGGGAAGAGACAACTAACAGCAAGCCCCACAGCTCCCAATCCAAATATAGCTACTGATGAACCTTTTTTTGGTTTTGCAACATTCAATGTAGCACCAAGACCTTCAATAACAAAACCAATTATATAGTTAATCAAAAGAGAAATTATTCAATTGACTAAATGAGCAGAATGTAGTTATGCTAACCTGTTGAGATACCGCAGCTCAGAACACAAACTTTGTCAAGTGGGGCAGTGGGGTTGATCTTGGCAACACAGCCAACATGGACTACAGTGTATTCACTGAAAGTGGAGGTTCCGACAAAGTGGTATATTGGTTGTCCATTGATTGAAAACCTTGACTTGCCATCATTCAGCATCACTCCACGGTCAGTGTTAATCCTTAGGAGGTTACACATGTTACTTTCCTCTGATTTGCAATGATCACACTCTTTGCACTCCCCTGTGAAGACTGGAAGCACATGATCACCAGGCTTGAGATCTGCCACACCCTCACCAACACTTTCCACGATTCTGAAAGCAAAGAAAATGAAGGTTTGTAACAAAATATGTACAATCAAAATTGAGATTAAGAAATATGCTGTTGTTTTCCAACTGGAAATTGTTCATACCCTCCTGCTTCATGGCCAAATATCCGTGGAAATAAAGGTGTCTGTCCCTGTAAAACATTAAATTTAACACTTCAGCATATGTTCAGTTATAGTTAGAGAATGACTAGTATTTAGAAATTCGAACTATCGATTACCTTGGCTTCCCAGAAGTAGACATCAGTGTGGCAGAGTGAGGTAAACAGGATCTTCAGACGAACTTCATTCGCCTGTGGTGGAGCTACCTCAACTTCCTCTATCACCAGTGGTTTTCCGGCTTCCCATGCCACCGCAGCTGCAATGCAATAATAATATTCAGCTCATGTATGATTAAGATTAGAAGTTAAAATCAAGGGTAGCCTTTTTAAGCAACTACTAATGTGAGAGCGGTACCATTTTGCTATGAGAGACGAAAAAAGATTATTTAATCTGGCATGAATAATGGTCAACATTAAAAGTTACAAAAAGAAATAAATCATATTATGTGTATTATGAAGAAGCAGATAAGACCAATGCATGCAGCACAGTTGAAGAAAGTTGACAGTTGCATGGCTAAACAGGAACAACTGGGAAATCATATGAAGAAAACACATTGGAAGACTCATCGTTAGGAAAATAAATAAAGTGGAAAAAGAAAATCACGACTTAGATATCGGATATTTTGCAATCCATTGTGTAATGCATGCTTAATTTCATTGATGGCAGTATATGAACATGGCACGTTAAACTAGTATAGATGTATCAGACTCCATTAACTGTAGAGGAAAAAGTGAGAGGTTAAAATCATGAATTGAAAAAATAATAGTGAATATTATATAAAATACATGCATTTTTAGAAACCAGTAAGATTTTCAATTGTTGGTCATCTATTCAATAAATACAATTATACACTTCATTATATTATATAAAGTAAATACTCCACAGACAAACTTGGTATAGGCATGCAATCTAGAAAGCCAACCAATGAATGGATGGATACCTTAGTTAGAACACTTTTATGCTGTAAAAAATAAAGCAATAACTATAATAAAAAACCATTGCAACAGGTACAATTGTAGGTAGCAAAATACCTTTGCATTTTATGACCTTTCCAGCAGTAGTTGAATCCATTTTCTCTGCTTTTAAACTCCTTGATTGACTTTTTTATTTGTAAATCACTTACACAAAACACACAAGTACTTTTCTTTTTCGCTGTGCAGATATGGGTTGGTTTCTATGGAATATATATATAGTGCACCAATGAAGAAGACCTTTCATCTCCAAGGTTAAAAACTATCAAAATCGTAAGAGTAAGAAAAACCGTGGAAACCACTGGTTTTGGTTCCCTTGAGTAACAACACAAGCTTACAAGCAGCGGCGCCGTTGGTCTTTCTAATTCTGCTGTCTGGTTTCTGGTGATTGAACTTTATGTGATATAATATAATAACAAACCAAATTACAGATAACGTACATTCTGAAATATTCTATTCTACAGGCTTCAATTGGATAGGAATTGCACAAGTCAACCAGGTCGGGGCGTAACAGAATATAAAACATAATATTAGATGCCAGTTATAAAACATAGTTGACTTTACCATGTGAAATATAAGCGTCGCTAATAATTAATCAATTGCCGAGGCAACAGTTAAGTTAAAAATGAACTTAAATAATTTAATTAAAATATATTAATCGGATAAAGGTATTTTACAGTCATGATATTTTCTTTTGTGATAATTATTTTGAAAATCGTAGAATAAATTTTAGTTGGTAAACATAGTAAAGTAGAAATCTAATAATAAAACTCTTTGAAAAGATACCATCAAGTATTCGTGGTTGTGTGAAATATCTGCTTCTTCACTCGCTCTCATTTCAATGCTAATAATAATAATAATAATAATAATCTTTTTTTTATTAATATTTTTTTTATAGTGTTATAAATAAATTATAGATTATACAAACAGTGAGAACATCTAGGATTAAGAAAGGCAAGGTCCAACTCGACGGAATGGGGTGAATACATTTGGTGCAGGTGCAATACAATTTAGTGAAACAAAGGTTAGCTCAGTGCAGGGCTGCAGTGGCCGAAGACCCGTGCAGACAATTAAACAAGGTATCGCAAAGAATCAAGATGTGTACACATGACAATGCTCACAATTCTCAACTCAACAAATATGACGGGACTGAGAGAAGTTATAACCCCAAAAATTTTATAATTTATGTAAATTATAATTTTTTATTTTAGTTTCCAAATTTAATAAATATTTAATATATTTATTTATATATTTATAATTTTATTATCTTAAACCTTAATCAGTTTTATAATTCTTATATAATTTATAATTTTGTCCTTCAAATTTAAATTTAATGATCATTTAATATATTTAAATATATATTTATAATTTTATCTTTTCACTTTTTTTTTATATTTATTTATTATTCTTTAATAATATATTATTTGGACCCAAAATAATGGTTAAAATCTGATAATGATAACATACATATCAATATCAGAATTGTTTTATATGAAGGCTGGCACACCATGGGAGGTGTACAAGAGCTCACTGCTCTCTGCATGCAGGGTTGGTGATAAATAAAAAAAGCATGTAAAGGAAAAGTGGTGCAACAATTTTTCCACTTTAATTTACCATTAAAGAGTACGATTACAAAAAAACTGTTGAGATATTAGGGATAATTGACAAATTTACAAATGTAATCCCTGTGAGAAATTACAATGTGGGTAGTAATGCATTTCATATACCAGCACAGGCTAAAACCCTCAGTGCTCCCTTTGTGGCAAAAAAAGGTCTCTCGTACACAATTGAATTGAATGTTTTTAAGTACCCTTCAGCTTGTTCCAGAATGTATCATTCTTCATTTTGATATTATGCATCCCAAGTTGATATTCATACTGAAAAGAGCTGTGGAAAAGGGTAGCACAAAATTTTACAGTGCAAATTAGATCAGATGAGAGAGAACATGCGTAACTAGTTTGACCCATTGTTGCTATTTCTGCGACATGATTGATTTTGTGTTCTTTTCCCAATAAATAGATGCATCTGCAAATGACAACTGTCACCTTATTCAATCACACAACCAAAACCAAAATTATGAACACTAGAGATAATTGAAGTTGAAAAATAACAAAATGTTAATAAACCTTCCTCTCAAAGAAAATGGCTCGCCATCAAGAGTTGTGGTTTTTCCTTCTCTTCTTCAATCACCTTCGTAGCTTCATCTTTAATGTTTTGAACCTTTTTATCCCATATATCATCTACTAGTTTCCAAGTTTCATCGCTAACAATTTGTGTCTGCAGTAAAACAAAGGAAAAATGAAAGAGCTCAAATCAGTAGTATGGCAAATTATGGCATCTAATATAAAAATAAAACAAGGTTTTTGACTTATACCTCTGTAGGGCGAGGCGCACCAAAGGTCGAAAATCCAACATTGCCCGGCGCAAATGTAACCCTTCCAGGAAGACTGATCCCATGGATTCCCCACCGTCCGGCATAAATCAGTGCTCCATATTCATCAACTGGACTGACAGGAGGCTAAAGAAGACCCAAAAAAAAAAAAGAATCTCCAAAGATTATCATTTATTCAACCAAGAAGAATGATATTAGAAAAAGAAAGAAAAAAATATGGGTAGGACCTGCCATACAAAAACTTTAAGTTTGTAATGCGTAAAAATTCCAACAAATCACCCCCAAGTAATAAATATCTGCCAATTCACTTCTTGAAGTGTGAGAATACTTTCTGTCAACAACCTCATTTTATTGCTGCTTTATTAAGAGGATTACATTTAAAAAGTGGAATATCTTTGATTTATTTAAGTGTTGTTATTGTATTTCCTAATTTAGCTTCCCAATCTTGTATATATGACTGATGTATTCCAATAATAAAATCATCCGATTCTACCCTAATATTTGAGAAGATGAGATGAGGTATTATTTAGTTTTATCTTCTTTGTATATATGTACTGTTACATTCAACATGGTATCCGAGCTCTCAAATTCTAGAAGCCACCTCTGACTGTGCAAACCAAAACCCTAGACAGCAACCTTCATTGTTGCCATTCATCCCAAAACCCTAGACAGTAGCCATCATTGTTGTTGCTCATCTCAAAACCCTAATTGGCAACTTTCATTGTTGTCGTAATTTAACCTGATATTCCTTGCACTTTGTTTTATTGTTGCCATGGTGGATTCAGTAAGTACAACAACTGAAATAGGGGATAATAAATCTCAAATTCATGGAGAACTTCAAAATCTCAACATTGCCTCAGATTGAATGGGCAAAATTACTTGAAATGGTCTCAGCTTGTTCGTATTATTTTGAAAGGTAAAGGGAAAGCCAACCACTTGATTGATGAAGCCCCTAAAGATGAAGATCCCAAATTTACAAAATGGGAGGAAGAGGACCCTGATTATGGCATGACTGGGGAACTCAATGATTCCATAAATCAGTGATACTTGCATGTTTCTTAATCCTGCAAAGGAGGTTTGGAATGCTATAGAGTAGACTTACTCCAAATCTAAAGATTGGGCCCCCAAAAACGAGATAAGGATGTGAGAAAAAAAAAAGGAGACAACACAAGAAAAGGAGGACAAACACACATAGCTGTTGGAACCAGTGAAGAAAACAAAGGAGAATTGATTCAACTCAATCAGGATGAAATAGAGAAGATGAGATAATTTCTCAACAAATCGGATAAGTCAACAGGTACTTGTTCTCTAGCATATTTAGGTACGTGTGGAAAGTTTCCTTTTGTTTTTGGACTCAATGCCTCATATAGATTCTATAACCAATATTAGATATTCAGGTACGTGTGGAAAATTTCCTTTTGTTTTTGGACTCAATGCCTCATATAGATTCTATAACCAATATTAGATACTAGATTCAGGTGCCACTGACCACATGACACCCCTTCCCAAACACTTCTCCTCCTCCACACCCCTTGTCCTAACAATAAGAAAATATTCACAGCAGAAGACACTCGCATCACTGTAGCAGGACAAGGAAAAGTTCAAATAAACCCATCCATAACCCTTAAAAATGTCTTTCATATTCTCAAACTGTCTGTTAATCTGATTTCCATTAAAAAACTCATAAAAGACCAATCACGTAATGTTATATTTTGTGATAATGTTTGTATGCTGCAGTACAAGCACTCGAGGAGGATGATTGAACATGCTAGAGAAGGGAATGACCTCTATTATTTGGACAACTTAAATTTGCCCCCAAACTTATAGGGACTTGGTGGGAATCTTGTAACTTGGAAAAGTAAAAGACAAAATGTGGTAGCAAGATCTAGTGTTGAAGCAGAGTTTAGGACAATGGCACAAGGAATATGTGAACTACTATGGTTAAAGATTATCTTAGAAGATTTGAGAATAAAGAGGGATGAACCAATGAGACTTTATTGTAATAACAAGTCTGCTATTAGCATAATGCAACATGATAGAACTAAACATTGAAGTTGATAAAAATTTTGTCAGAAAAATTAGACGGTGGTCAAATTTGCACCCCATATATCTCTTCACAAGACAACCCTTGCATATCTCCTAATAAAGGGACTGAATAGCAACAACTTTGAAAGGATTGTTTCCAAGCTGGGAATGGAAAATACATATTCACCAGCTTGAGGAGGAGTGTCAACAACCTCAATTTATTACTTCTTTATTTAGAGGATTACAATTAAAGAGTGGAAATATTCTTGATTCATAGGAATCCTAAGTGTTGTTATTGTATTTCATAATTTAGCTTTCCAATCTTATATATATGACTGATGTATTCTACTAATAAATTCATTCGATCCTACCCTAATATTTGAGAAGATGAGATGAGACATTATTTAGTTTTATCTTCTGTGCAAATGTGTACTGTTACATTCAACACTTTCAAATAATGCATTAAATAACAAAAATGTGTCATTAGAAAATTTCAATCCCTCACCCAAGCACACATAAAAATGTTAATGGCCGACAATTGATAAAACAGGACAACATGCTCCACTTTAGTTTAAGATCTAACCTGAGCTACACGAGGAACACTCTTATAAATGTCCCAAATCTCTTCAGCTTTGATTTCCCCCTTTTCAAGCAAAATATCTGCAAAACAAGTATGTAGCAATTATTGCTGTGCACCCTTTTGTGAAATTATGAATAATTGCTAACTTATGCAATAGCCTTAAATCCTATAAAGGAGGACCTGTAATTGTCTCAACTGCCAAATGGTATTCTTTTAGCACCGATGAACACTTCTCTGTAGCATAACGCATATATTCATCTCGAAGTGCTTCAAGCTTCATTGCAAGCTGTATAAAACTCTTCAACATAAGTTGCGATACAACCATACTTATAAAACACTTCTGTTAAGGGAAACAATATGTATTAAAGCACAGGCTGTAAGATCCCACACACATACATTGGGCACAAGATCACTATAGTTTTTGTAATATGCTTTCCCAAAGGCAGTCATTCCTGTCTGTAGAATTAAAAACTCTGCACGCCTTGAAGCTTCTAGTGTTGCCTTTGCAGAGATCCAACACAAGTTATCAATCCCAAACATCTCCTCCTCAATTACTCTTGCTACAAACAAATTTCGATAAGCAAAAAAGCTCAATAAACAAAGTACCTATTTTGGATAATCATCTTGTGGCTAGCTATAGGAAGAGGATACAAAATACAAATTTAAGTTTACATTAAGAACCTTGCGTCTGTTGGTTTTCATAAACAAAATAATTTATTTTACATAGGATGTTCACATGTTGACCCAATGCTAAGATCTTTAAAAATTCATCAAAACCAATAAATTTATACAGGATATTAAATTATTTTTATATAAATTGGGTGCCACAATTAAAACAAAAAGGACATTACTAACCAAAAAAATACTTCGAATAACAATGACATAGTATCACAACGGAGTCCCCAGATTACAGATTTGCCATTTAATCTACAATAATCATTATTCAAGAAACAGAATATAAAATGTTTTAAAGAACATTATCGAAATGATGAAAGTCACATAAATCAAATTACTATGAGATTGCAAATAAGACTTTCTGAAATGAACTGAAACTCAAAACAACTTACGAGCACAAGCACGCACTATAGAGTTTATGTAATCTGATTTCCTTGCAAAAACCTGACCAGAAATTTCAGTATAACGCATATTTGGCTGGCTGCGGAGAGAATTTATATCAGTCTGCAAAAGATAAATACCCAGTGACACAGTTGAAATAATAATGGATCCGCACACACATGGAACTTGCTATAAAACATCTTCAGTGACCTCAACAAAAGGACGGTGGGGCTCAGGAAAATAACATGCAAGAACAGCAACAGCTGCTTCTCTGTATGCCAATCTCAGTTTTAATTCTTCAGGAATTTCGGTACTATCCTCTTGCCCCGTTTCAAATGTTCCTTTTTGCTGAAAATCCATAAGATTATCAGACAGACAGTATAAACTTACACCAAAGATGATTGAATATGTCAAAAGAAATGATATTATTGCCCAGCCATCAAGATTCTAAGAATCCACCAACCCTTTTTAATGCCTCGAGCAGCTCATCTCGTCTGATGTAATCCAAATCCTTCCTAGCTGTCAAAATTCCAGCTTCATTCCTGTCATTCAATTGAAGATAATATCAGTCTATATTCTCATGACAGACTGGTAAAGCAATATAACCCAAATACTATTTACAGTATATTTTGTAGCTCTGCCCCAGTAAAATCTTCTGTCAGCTTAGCAATTTCCTTCAGTAGAGTATCCTTTTCCTCCTCTGAGCGAAAAAATTTATTCCTAGCATGCACCTAGTGTGCATCATAAAGAAAAGAGAAAAAGGAAAGTAAAGATGATGAAATACTAGAGGAAAACAAGATCTCAGCAAATAACAGTTCCAGTGGTAAAATACCTTCAAAATGGCAAATCTTCCATCCTCAGATGGCAAACCTACTCTGATGATCTTGTCAAAACGACCCTTCCTCAGTAGAGCAGGATCAAGAATATCCAATCTATTTGTGGCTCCTATCACGAGCACCTGAAATTCAAGTTCAGTATATCAAATAACATCTATATGATCCCAGCATCCAGTTAAGAAAATTACCTGTGCTGTGGAAACTTTGAATCCATCCATCTCAGTCAGTATCTGCAGTAAACCTTGTTCCCTTTCAGCACCTCCCTATATAATGTAATTCAGAGGTTTCATTAGAAAAGTCAATAGAGAACATGAAAGTAAGACAAGAATAAGCCATGTTCTAGCCCAGAAAAAAATTATGTACAGGTTCTACAGGGAACATTTATCAACAATCATGCATGACATATAAAATCATCAGGGTAGCCCCAAAGGGACCAAGAAAAGGTCTTTAAATTACATTTGAAAAATATTACCCCCTCTAAAGATGTCTATATTCAGATTCTGTTGCAGTACTGCCAATAAATGTCACAAATCTGAACAAATGAAATTTCTTTGTTACTTACCATGCTGATAATCCCAAGAAGTTGTGGTTTTTATGCTGTTAGAACAAATTGTCAATTTTAAGCACATTACGTTATCAATGGTTTCATCATGATCCTTTACACTACTGCTTCACCAGTGGTTTCGAGTCTATTTTCAGAGCATTTTTCCAACAATAATCATGTGATCATAACCCACAACTGAATGTCATAGCCAAATGGAAAAATTAAAATCTAGCCAAAATAGCTTGTACCTGGCTCTTTCACTTCAAGATACCATATTATTGGGGCTATGACATACCATATGCTATCTAATTAATTGTATGCCACCACCCATCCTCCAAAACCAGGTGCGCCACTTTCTATTTTTCTCAAAGCAGGACTTCTATCATCTTCCTCTCTAGATCTTCATATGCACTTGTTTTACCCATGCCTTAACTCCAATAAAAAAAATTGGTCATGAAATCCCATGTAATTTCTTGGATAGCCTCAATTGCAAATAGGTTACAAGTGCTACTATCAAGACCACAACAGATGTATTGATTTTGCAGGTACTAGCTTTATTGAGACTTGTCCTTTCTTCCTATCCACTTCAGATGTACTTCATGACATTGATATTATGCTCCTAGTTGGTCACTTTTTCTTTTAAATTATTCCCACACTTGTCTCGACTCTGAACCCCTTTGTTCACAAATCATGCCTACTACTGATCCAATTTCCCATCTTGATTGAGACTCATCTCCTACACCATCAGACTCTCCTGTTTTACCTCCTAAATTGGGATTGTCTATAGCATTACACAGAGGAATCAACTTTGCTACACATAATATCCCATCCTCTTTATGAGTTCCTTTTAATAATCATCATTTTACCTATTAACTTGCTACACTTTAGTGCGTAGATGGAGAGCAACTTTAGCATTTGTTAGTATATATATATATCTTTAGAAAAGCTGCTTTGGAGGAAACGAATATGCATTTGGCCTCCATGTAGGAGCACAGTGTCTTTCTAAAATATCCATAGTTTTCCTACATTGATGTCTTTTGTTCCTTCTATGTTGCGTTTTCATTTCTTTTATTTTAACAAATACTCTTATTAACAAATACTCTTATCCTTTACGTTTGTACTCATCTTCTGTGTCTTAATAAATTTCTTCTTTTATTCAAAAAGATAAGTCTTAGAAAAATTGATAATATTTTATATAACACAAGAACTTTGATAATTTTAAGTCAATCCAACATTAATGCTACAGAAACGTAAATATAGATTTGAGAGAACAAAAGATGTAAAGCAGTTCATATCTTACTCCGCCAATATCAGGTCCTCCACGCTTGCTACCAATAGCATCTATCTCATCAATAAAGATTATAGAAGGTGAAAATGATCTTGCATTAGCAAACAGGTCTTTAACACGGGATGCAGCAACCCCTACAAACATCTGGGGAAAAAGGACAGATTAAATGAGTCAATATCATTTAATTTAAAGTTCCAAATAAATCAAGTATAAACAAAAATCAGGACAAGCCTTATTGAATGCAACATTTTGCATTCCATGGGGACATGTCATCATACATTCCATTCATTTAGACAAAAAGAATATTATGAAGCACATGGTGTAGATACAAATAGTTAGCACTTAACACACTCTAATTAGTTTCAGATTTATCTCATTATTTGTGTGTAACTGATTGAAAGAGGAATAGATTCCATAGCTAATGATTTACTATGTTGAGGTCTCCATTTAACCTTGTTAATTTTTCTAAAAACAAATTATAGAACTCTAAAGATACAAGTGACATCAATTTGGTCCTTTAATAATACATCAAAATGGCCCTTTAATGTAAATTTCTGCTATAGTCCAATTTGAAGGACCAACATGATGTAAAGATGGACACTGAATGATCATTTGACCAAAATTAGTGTTTAATCTAAGACCAAGGCTAAATTATACAAATGATCCTTTATATTTTACATTTTACTCAGTTTGCAGGTGGGGTGGGGGAGGGGGAAGAAGAGGTTGGGTGTGGTGGGAAAATGGAGGAAGTGCAGTTGAGGATCCGAGGAAGAAGAGGAAGGAGGGATTAAATATTAACGGAGTCAAGTTTAAGCTAACAGAAGAACTATTTTGAACCACTTTAAAAACAAAAACGTCTAAATTGAATTTTTTAAAAGATAAGAAACTACACTGAATAAAATGTAAAACATAAAGGACCAAATGCATAATCTAACCTAAATTTCATCTACAATCCCATTCTTAAAAGATATAATCACTTCTATTGGATTTAGATATTGCACCAAAAATATTCCAACATTCGACTTGAAAATTTCAATTCAGTGCATATGAAATTGGAGAAGAGACAGCACCTCTACAAAATCTGTGCCATTGGCTGCAAAGAAAGGCAATCCTGCTTCACCTGCTATGGCTTTAGCCAGTAGGGTTTTACCAGTTCCAGGAGGCCCATGAAGAAGTACACCTTTTGGACAATAAATTCCTTTGTCTTGAAACTCATCATCATTTTTTAAAATTCGGACAATCTCTTGTAGTTCTTTCTTTATATATTCCTGGCCAGCAAAATCATCAAATGTAACACCAGTTCTTTCTTCTGCAGATATAAATTTAGCCCTGTGGGGGAAAGCATAATAATTAGATTCTGGGTGTAAAGAGATTGGCTCTGTCAAGTGTAATGTTTTTCTTTTTACTTGAAGAAGCTGCACCAAAACCTTCGCAACTATAATCAAAACTTAACTCATTGTCGTAAACCAGACACCACAAAACCACATTTCTTATAAGGTAGGTGGTTTGCAAGTATATCTGCCTATGTCTGTATCCCTTAACATGACCTAAATATCATCATAAAGATAAAGGAAAACAAAGACCCAGATCATGGAAAATATCAGCAACAGCAGCTGTCCACATCAAATCTAGTGCAAAAGAACTACTAAACAAATGATTTGGCAAATCCCAGCTGGAGAGCCAGTGTTTTGGCTTCTTCCCCCAAATAACTAAAGGAAATTTGTCTAGGACAAATTCAGTCTTTGAAATTTTAATTGAAATTAGATTACGTCTATATTCTAAATAATTTATGCATCAGGTGCAAAGTATTTAGGATGTAAAGAGTAAGTGGTTCTACCTGCAGACTAATCCAAACTCGGATAATGATTATGAAACAAAAATAATAATAGTAAATTTTCTGACAGCAGTAGTAAGTAGCCTGGCGTTCTTTTAGCTACAAAAACTTAAAAGCATTGCCAATAGATTCTACAAGAATTTCGATTTTTTTAAAACATAATGAAGGAAAAAGTAATCATCATATTTCCCTTCCCTACTAATTGATTGTAAATCTCTAATAACAAACTGCCTAACCCAAAAGCAGTAAAGCCAAGTAAAGCCAAGTCCTAACAATAAGCCAGCAAAATACCTGTAATAAATAACATAAATGAAATTCTGACAACCAACAGGAAACATACAGAAATTTTATCCACTTACCGACTCTGTCCTAGAGATCCAAGAGCACGACTTCTGAGTGGCTGACTAGTTTTTTGGCTAGGAGTTCCCAAATCACAAGGTATCAACTTTGCATATATTGGTCTCATCAAATTATCAATCCACACATAAAATCCAACTGCCAGAGCAAAACGCATAGACCATATAACAGCAACTGCAACAGTTGAGTATATTTCAGCAGGCACCGCATCCACATTAATGACATCAACATTTACAATTTGCTGATGTAGCTTTCTCCATACATCATTCCAACTATCAATTGGCATTCGATTGACTGGATGACGTCGAAAAATAATATCCTCAGGATTCCCTTCAGTTCCATTCATTGTCCCATTTTTGTAATATGGTAGAATAACTGCAGAAACATGGAAACAAATATTGAGCAAAACATTTTGTTGGAATAGATTAGAAAATATATGTAATCATTATACCTAAGGTAGGGAGTTGAGTGTTAGATAATCTCTGCAGGGGGTTGAGTGTTAGATAAACTCTGCACCTAGTTCTGAGAAGTAGTCTAGGACTGGGGCATTTAATATAATCTCCCTATTGTATTAATTTTTATCAATATAAATAGAGAACCATGATAGGGGTTCTTCAAGCCCTCTAAAAACACTTTTTCTCTGTTTTGAATATCAAGTTGGTATCACAGCGGGTCGATCCCGCTCTGCCTATCTTTGTAGTCTCCAGCACTATTTTTGCCGCCGTCCGCCATCTCCGCCGCTGGCCACCGTCTTCGGTCGTCCAGTTTTCGCCGTGCGACCACCGGATCTAAATTGTCTCGCCGCACGACAGCCAACCCCACCGATCCAGGAAGCTTGTTCGCCTCCACGCGCTGCCACGCGCCGCCTCTCTCTCCGCTACATCTGACGCGTGTCATCCACGTGCCACCTTCTCCGTGTCAGAACGTCGTCGCGCCGCCTCTGTTAGGATCGTCGAAGCTTTTTCTCCCTGTTCTGACCCTCATAACTTCATTTCAGTGAAGTCCAGTTGCCACCCTTGCGAAAATCACTCTTGGGCTTTTGGTCTTCCTTACTATTTTCGCACCCCCTCACCAGTTTTTGTCTTCTTGATCAGAAATGGCTGCAATTTCATTCTCTGGAAGCCCTTCCATTACTTCCGAAAAGCTAAACGGACAAAATTATCTATCTTGGTCTGCTGCCGTCGAAATGTGGTTTCTCGGTCAGGGGCATCACAACCACCTTGAAAAAGATGGAAGCCATGTGCCGGAAGAAAAAGTTGAACAGTGGAAACAAGCAGATTTTCAGCTATGTGCTCTATTGTGGCAATCGGTGGAACCATGACTTATGATGTCACTTAGAGCCTTCAAAACTTGTCACTCCTTTTGGAAGAAAGCCCAAGACATTTATGCCAATGATACCCAACGTCTCTATGATTCCGCAAATAAGCTGGCTAAATGATAGATCATGATATGGTGACCTTCATGAATGACGCCCAGTCAGCTGTGGAAGAACTAAAGATGTTCTTGGAAGTCGACTCCTTGGATGAAATGAAGAAGAAGCTTGACAAGTATTACATGGTGATGATCCTTCGCGCAATACATCCTAACTTTAATCATATCAGGGATCAACTTCTGACCACTTATGAAGTCCCTTCCATGGATACCCTTATCACACGCCTGATTCGTGTACCAATGCTTGAAACTCAAGAAGCTCATGCTCTAATAGAACCATCTGCCATGGTTGCCACACGAGGAAGAGGAGGACGTGGCACTAGAGGAGGAGGACGTGGAGGTCAAGGACGTCCCCAATGCACCTACTGTAGAAGGATGGGTCACACATAGGAGAACTGCTACTCCTTGCATGGTTTTCCTCCCAAAACCGCCAATGTCTCAAAGGTTGAAACCGTCGACTCCAAGTTCACTGAGAACGAATACCAAGAGTATCTACGGTTGAAGTCTAATAGCTTGGCACAGACCTCTCAAACTACAAGCACATCAACTGCTTGCATTTTTCAATCTGTGGAAGGTCAAAATTCATGGGTAATTGACTCTGGTGCTTCTGATCATATATCTAGTAATACCTCCTTGTTCTCAACCATTTCCTTTCAAGAAAAACAACATTTCATAACCCTTGCAGATGGCTCTAAAGCTTCCTCAAAGGGAGTGGGTCAAGTTTCCTTGTCTCCCTCCATAAACCTGAAATTTGTCCTTTTTGTTCCTAATTGTCATTTCAATTTAATCTTCTTAAGTCAGTTAACCAAAACCTTAAATTGTTCAATAACCTTTGATAACAAATTTTTTGTTATACAGGATCGTGGTTCGGAGAGACGGATTGGAGAAGGATATGAAGCTGGAGGATTATACCTTTTTGGCCCTCGTCCACGTGTGTCCAGTGTTGCTACTCCGAGCCCTAAAATGTTATATGATCAGCTTGGTCATCCTCATTTGTCAAAATTAAAAAGAATGTGTCCTGAACTTAGTGGTCTCCAGACCTTAGAATGTGAGTCATGTCAACTAGGAAAATATGTTAAATCTACCTTTTCTAAAAGGTCTCAATCAAAGTGTACTTCCAGTTTCTTTATTATCCATTCTGATATTTGGGGACCCAGTCGCATCTCATCTTTTGGTTTTTGGTATTTTGTTACATTCATTGATGAATATTCACGATGTACTTGGGTTCATCTTATGAAAGATCGCTCTGAATTATTACCCATCTTTACATCCTTTTTAAATGAAATCAAAAATCAATTTGGTCAAGTAATCAAAATTTTAAAAAGTGACAATGCTAAAGAGTACTTCTCATCCACCTTTTCTGTTGTTTTGAGTTCATATGGAATATTGCATCAGTCCACCTGTCCTCATACACCACAGCAGAATGGTATAGCAAAAAGAAAAAATAGATATTTAGTTGAAACTGCACGTACTCTTTTGTTGGGTGCTCATATTCCTGTCCATCACTGGGGGATGTCATCTTAACTGCATGTTTTCTTATTAACAGGATGTCATCTTCCTCTCTCAGTAATAAGATCCCTTCCTCCATTCTATTTCCAAATAATCCTCTCTTTCACACCTCTCCTCGAGTTTTTGGTTGTATATGTTTTGTTCATGATATGTCTCCAGGGTTAGACAAACTTTCTGCTCGTACTATCAAATGTGTCTTCTTAGGCTATTCCCGCCTTCAAAAAGGGCATCGGTGTTACTCTCCTAAAACCAAAAGGTACTATATGTCTGCCAATGTTACATTTTTTGAACAGACTCCTTACTTTTCTCCTTCTGTTCAAGATGTTCATGTCATACAATAGGTTCTTCCCATTCCAGTGGTTGAGTCTAATATTTCTAATGTCTCTATCGATCTCAGTCGTGATCCAAGTCTTCCAGAACCATCCTCCCCTCACATTGATGTTGTCAATCATAGGATCCCGATGGCTAGTCCTGTTCTCCAAGAAGAGGGTGAATCCCCCACTTTACATTCTTCTCCAACATCACTTCCTACCATGACTCCTGGTGAAGGTGATTCCGGATGGCCCATTGCTCTCAAAAAAGGTATTCGTTCCACTCGAAACCCACATCCTATTTATAATTTTCTTAGCTATCACAGATTGTCGCCTTCCTATTATTCCCTTTTATCCTCATTATCTTCTATTGCTATCCCAAGAAATGTGGAAAAAGCACTTGATCACCCTAAATGACGACAAGCCATGATTGCATAAATGCAGGCTCTTGACCATAATGTTAATTGGGAGCTCGTGCCCCTTCCACCATGCATAAAGGCAGTTGGTTGCCACTGGGTGTATCCTGTTAAAATCGGCTCTGATGGTAAAGTTGATCGACTCAAGGCTCAGTTAGTTGCAAAAGGGTACACTCAGGTTTATGGCCTTGATTATTGTAACATTTTCTCTCCCGTGGCCAAGATGACTACTATTCGTCTGTTCTTCGCAATGGCTATCATTCGTAACTGGTCACTTCATCAATTAGATATCAAAAATGTCTTCCTACTGGATATTGTGTCTTCCTTGGAGGAAACATTATTTCATGGAAAAATAAGAAACAAAATGTAGTGGCTCGATCGACAGCTGAAGCTAAATATAGGGCAATGGCGTCACTAACTTGTGAACTTATATGGGTGAAGCAATTCATTCAAGAGCTTAACTTCTGTGATATCCAGACTATGAAGATGTATTGCGATAATCAAGCTGCTCTCCACATTGCATCAAATCCCGTATTTCATAAGAACTAAACATATAGAAATTGATTGTCACTTTGTTCGGGAAAAGTTGTTGAGAAAAGAAATATGTACCGAGTTTGTTGGATCAAATGACCAATTCGCAGATGTGTTTACCAAGTCCTTAAGGGGACCTCAGATTGAGTTCATTTGTTCCAAGCTTGGTACATACAATTTGTATGCTCCAGCTTGAGGGGGAGTGTTGGAATAGATTAGAAAATATATGTAATCATTATACCTAAGGTAGGGAGTTGAGTGTTAGATAATCTCTACAAGGGGTTGAGTGTTAGATAAACTTTGCACCTAGTTCTGAGGAGTAGTCTAGGTCTGGAGCATTTAATGTAATCTCCCTATTGTTTTAGTTTTTATCTATATAAATAGAGAACCATGAGAGGGGTTCTTCAAGCCCTCTAAAAACACTTTTTCTCTGTTTTAAATATCAAGTCATTTCAACCAGATCTACCACTTTACACAGCTGGGCTGAACACGCAGCACTACATATTGTAAAATGATAAAATGTCATATAGCACATGCTTTCAGAAGTACACATTGCCCATTATGAAACTTATTTAACCTTCAAATTCTAACAAAACAGAACTTTAACAAACCTCAATCAGACAAATTCTCTACAATCTGTCAAAATTGTAACCAGAGCATTACAACAGTCAATAAAGAATTATATTCTCTCTTTCTCCTCCTATTTTTTAATTATTAAAAGACTCATGACACCTTGGTTGCACAAAGTGAAAAAATACATTGCTACTAGAGCACTACTTTTACCAAGTTCTTACCAGTGCAGACACCAAAATAAAAGTGCAGATTGAGGGGCAATACAAAGTATTACTATGCCAACCTGCGGTTATTCTGCTGACCCTTCCATTTTCTACCTTCTTTTTCTTTTTCTTTTTTTAATCGGCAAATATTAGTTGTTACTATACTAGTTTTTGTTGATGGGGATTCAAAACCCACTACCCACCCCTCCCTCCCTCCCTTCCACTTTTACCACCAAGCTAACTATTGAAAGTCCCACATCGCCTACCTCATGTCATTTGGTATGGTTTAAATACATGTTAGGCTACTCCACATATTGCCAATTGGTTTTATGTTGGAACCTTAACATGGTATCAGAATCAAAGTCTAACATCTTTCCGGTTATTGTCATGGGCCAAAAGTTGCCCTTTAGTTGAGTCAAAAGTACCCTTTGCCTTGTCTGGCAGGCTTCGTTGGAGGGGGTGTGTTGAAAGTCCCACATCGCCTACCTCATGTCATTTGGTATAGTTTAAATACATGTTAGGCTACTCCACATATTGCCAATTGGTTTTATGTTGGAACCTTAACACTAACCTTTTATCTACACCTTCTTTTCCTTTTCAGGTGCAGAAATGGAAAAGTCATATCCCCTCACATTCATTACTTAATTCACAATAAACAAAACAAGATTGTCTCAAATAGACAACGAAACATCATGCACAAAAATCGAAATAAGCACAAACTAAATTCATCAACCAGGTAACATGTTCAAACCAACATTAAGAACTTCACATAACGCAGCAAATCAAACTCAGGTACAAAAATTCAAAGACAATATAAACAAGAGTCAGACTCAGCCACATTATCCGCATTACCTATCACAAGATCTTCCAACAACATATTCAAATCAGCAGCCAAAAATCAAACTAATACACACTAAACATCTTCCTCAAAACTAGACAACTAGTTTCGTGTCTAGCATAACATATATACTCTATTTAGACAAATTTCTCCACAAACACTTGTGAGAAAAGAAAATAAAAAGATAAAACAAACCTAGTTGTTCACATAAGTTAAAATCAAATTATGCACTTAACTTTTATGGAAACTCTTTTCATTTAACTATTTTTTTTTTTTTCTATTTCTGAAAAAGAAAAGGAAAAATCCCCACCTGATATTGTTTGACCGTAATTAGAGTACTCCATAAACTGTACATTCTTAGAGTCAAGAAGTCTCAAAAAATCGCTGAACTCTATCCCGTGTGAGTTTTCAGGATCCCACTCAGTCCCCTTGAGTTTTCCACGCAAAGTCAACAAAGTTCTGCTCCACGAAGAAGCCATGACAAGCTGCCTCTCTAACTGCATGTTCGCCTTCTTGTCAAACTCTTCCAACTCATCCACTCTCTTCCTTTCCACCTCCTTCAGTTTCTGCGCACAGTTCACTTTTCTCATCAACACCCAAGTTCCAAACGAAATATGCACACGCGCGTAAATATCAAAAATTGCAAATTTGCATTGCACCATCAAGCAAAAAAAAGAAAAAAACTTCCTACAATATAGATAGCGCTGAATTCTCAGTTTCCAGAATTTCGTAAAATTGTTCTCTTTTTCCTTTTTATCTTTTGTGACGAACCTCGAATAGTTGCGCGGATTCGGCATCTTGTTCTTGCTCTTTGTTGGGTGAGTCGGAAAGAGAGTTTGAAGCGTTGATTCTGAGTTTGCATCGATTTGTGAACTTGCGAGGGGAGAATGCTGTAGTGAGAAAGCGAGGTGAATATAGGGGAAATTGGGGAAAATGAGTTTTGAGAGGAAAGAAGGGTTTTGGGAGTTGAAGCCAAACGATGGTGTTTGCGCCAGGAAAATTCATCTTTTGGGATGATAAATTAGACAGAAAAGCTTCAGCTTTGGGCTATGTTCATACTTGTTATCATCGCACTTCGCTTCAATCTCAGTTAAGAATGTATCAGTATTGCAGTGTGGTTCTCAGCTTTCTGCATTTTGAAGTTCGTTGGGGTTTAAGATTATCGTTTTATTTGTTTTTTGGTACAAAAAAATTATTTTGTTTAATAAATAACATGAGAGAAGGAAAAGTAAATAAATATTTTCTTATTTTAATGAAAGGGAGAAAATATTAATATTTTGTTGTCTTTATTCAAAAAAAAACTCTTCACCTCTACAAAGACTGAGTGTCTAGATATTTCTATTTAGTATTTAAATATATTTTTAATATTATAACTTTAGTAATGTAAAATGGGATCATTTTAAATTTGCTCACTATAGAAAAAATAATATATATTTCTAATTCCTTTAAATTAAAAACAAAATAATCTTAATATTGTGTGACACTTGTTAATTGTTTATGGTTGAACAAAAGATCAGATCATTATTTATTTCAGTAATATGTTAAATCTTTAACACTTCTAAAATTTATCTATCTTAAAAAAGAAAAAGTGATGTCAAAATTTGGAGAAAAAATTATTTTACAGAAATTAAACATATTATATATGGAATAGTAAAACTAATAATTTAAATTTTCTTTTTTTCCGGTGTATAGGGACTAAAATTAAAGCTTGTTTAATTTTTATAGATTAGAAAATATGTAACTCTTTAGGTTAATAAAGGTATACACGATTTTTTTTTCTTTTACTATAAACTAAGTACATTAAACATAATAATTATTTTAAATGTAATTACAAATGTCTATTCTTAATGTTTGTATGAATGATTTTTTTTTTTAGAATTGAAATGTGAATTAAAAAAATTTGTAAAATTAAATAATTTATAAATAAAAAACTTAAATTTTTTAAATAAACATATATATATATATATATATATATATATATATATATATATATATACTTATTTCTCGTTTATAAGAATATATGTAATAATCCTTTTAAAATGCTCATCAAAATTTCTACGGAATAAATTTTAATGAAATTATTTTAATGTTTATTATGTTAGAAGAAAATCTTTGTAATGTGTATTTTATTAGAAAACATCCGTGTATAAAACACAGTTTCAAGCAACTACTAGTTTCTTATTGTAGAAAAACAATGAGGCAGAAAAATAATTAATTTTTTAAATAAATATTTAAACAAAAAATTACCTAAATAAAATATTAAAAATTTTATCTATCCAATTAAATTTATTTATTGTTGATACACAAAATTTAGTAATAGAAAATAAATTCCATTTATATAATACAAGGAGTTTACTCTTTTTCCTCCTTATTTGTTGAGTTTTCTTATTTTTCATTTACTTGTTGTATTTTTTTTTGTCCTTCTATTTGTTTTCTTCTTTTTTTCATTTTTTTTCTGTCACTTATTTTAATTTTTTAATTAAAAATATAAAATAAAAATTTGATAAAATGAATTTTTTCATATTTTTAAAAAATAAATTATTTAAATTATTTAAAAATATTATAATTTAGTATATTATATTTTAAAAATATTATATTATAAAGTTGAAGTATTACACATTATGTTATTATTAAAAAAAATATATATCATGTCTCTTAAGTAAAAAATATATATAATTTTTTTAAAATCAATATTGAAACTAAAAAAATATCAACTAATTATTTAAAATTATGATGATAATAAAAAATATTATTATTTAAAATTATGATGATAATAAATTTTACTTAGATAATATAAATAGTTAATTTTAAATTATTTTATTATAATAAATCAATTACTCATCTAATTAAAACATATTAAATATTTATGAATTAGATGTATTTATTATTTAATAATATAATCCAATTATAATTAGGTTGAATTATGGAAATTTGGTAATTTAAAAAAATATTTATTAAAATTTACTTTAAAATAAATATTTATTTTTTTCTTAATAATTATAACAAAATAATTTATAGATAATTTAAATATTTTTTTAAATAATAAAAAATTCATTTTATCAATTTTTTATTTAATATTTTTAATTAGAAGAATAAGACAAATCAATATAACAAAAGAGGAGAAAAAAATAAATATAGAAAAAGAATAACTAAAAATAAATAAAGAGAAAAAAATCTGTATTATATAAAAAAAATTATTTCTCATAATTATAAATAATAAACAAATGAGTTAGATAAATAAACTTATAAATATTTTATTTAATATTTAAAATATATTATTTAGAAGATTGATTACGAGGAAAGATATATTCATATTCATACAAAAATTACTCCAATTTTTTATTATTGTACAAACTCGTATGAATTTATTTTACAAACTAGTGTATTCACCTTTTCTTCATGGACATGATAATTAATAAAAGTTTTTTTTAAGTAAAGATATATTATTCATATAAAAATTATTTTTAATTTAAAGAACTCGTATTTATAATGGGTCTAATTCTTCACGACTCACTTTAGATGAGAGGTAATTTTTTTTTCATATATAATTATCTAATGAAAATTTTATATTATCATATGTTATTTTATAAAGATGTGATATACAACAGCTTTAATATGAAATTATATTTTATCCCATAGCATTTTTTTCTAGCAAAGATGTGATGTACAACAGCTTTAATTATAGAATCAATCTTTTAAAAATATAAGTAACATTAAAATAATGTTCTTTACAAGAATATAAATAAAGAGAATACATGTATATTCTCTCTACTTGTCACACATACCTCATATATTTATATGGATATTTTTGAAAATATAATTAAATAATAGACAATAATATGATTAATTGATTAAAAATTAAAATATTTTTTTAGATTTATTAAAATATGACTATTTTATTAATATAATAAAACACGTCATCTTTAATAAATTACGATAGTTTTGTTTAGAAAAATTAATTTGGACAAAAATATCATTTCAATAATTATTGAAAAAACATTAAAGACAAAAATCATTATATTTAGAATATACTTGATTATTTTTTATCTTGGATTTTCTTTTAAATTTTAAAAAAGATAATTTCTTTTATTAATAAGAATCAAGTTTAATACTCTCTAAATGAGACTTTATCATTCATGTATAAAACAAAAATAAAAATAAAAATGTTCATATTAAATATAAAAAAATATAAACATTATGTACTAAAAATAGTTTACAGATAAATTTTTAAATATATCATTTGGTTTTCTAATCTCAAGAACAAATTCTACTATGATAAAAAACTATATATTTACTTTATTTTTTTATTATACTTATTTTTTTATTATTTATAATAAAAAAAATATAGATTTATAATATTGCTATCACTTTTAAATTATTCCCAATTTCTTAAAATAAAATTATACAATTCATAAGGTAACATACGAAACACTCATAAACTATTATTTATAGGAAACAAACTATTTTGACACCAACATTTTTACAAACATTCACTAGATTTAATATTATAATAACAATTTTAAAATTTAATACTATAATAGCAATTTAAACTATTTTTTATTAAATCTTTTATAATTATTATATTAATAAAAACGGTTGTCTAGAAGATGTTTGTTTTGCAGCTGTCAACGTATTATCGCTTTATAACTAACTCCTCTGCATTGTATTTCATTGATAATATGTTTTATTTTTTTAATAATATAATTTTATAATTGTCTAATATCCTATCATTATTCATTCAATTTATTCTATTATCATTAATTAAATAAAATATTTTATGTAATTGGTATAAATTATACACAGGTACAACGGTCCGCTTCTTTATTATTTCAACGAATAAATCCGTCCTATGTTCAGTATTATAAACTTCCGAAAGTCCCTGAGGATAATAGTTAATAATTATAATTGTATATTTTAGATATTTAAATCACAAGCTTTTATTCTTATTAATTTTGATGCTTTTTATAATTATTAGATTTTGACCCAAACTATCATATCATATCATATCCTGCTTTCGTCCCTGCTCTCACTTTTCCTTGGGCTTCCTAGTTCATAATGTATGCAACTAAGGGATATATATTCTACGTCATGAGCGATCCAACTATAAAGAAGTAATTATTTTCTTGGGTACTATAAAGTAACAAGTGCTAAATGAAGATAATGGTTGGCTATGTTGCCAACATCATGTGTTTGTGATCAAGGGAAGAAACTTATAGGCACTGACAAATCATGCACACCGGATATGTCTAATTAGAATTAGAGTTTGTCAAAAACAAATTTACAGATTAATCGGTCCCTCCAAAAATTCTAGATTGGAACTGCAGTTTGGTTTGTCGTCATGTTATTTCTAGTTTGCTTCTAGAACCACATATACACTCAGGATATGGATTTTCATAAAAGGATTCTTCAGTCCTAAATCGTGCTCGGCCTTTGACTCCTGGTAGAGAACCATGCCTTTTCCTTGGAGCTCCTTGCCTAAAACCATGCAAAATAAGTAAATTCTTTTATTTTTATTACAGGGAAAATGAAATCAACAGAAGTTGCAACGGGAAAGAACTAGTAATTGCAGATTAAATGGAAAGAAGAATAATTAAACATAAAAAAGGAAAAAATGGTAATAGAATTTTAAAATAAAAGAAAAATGCAGTTTGTAACCAATTTTAACTTCTAATGATCATGTCATTTTGATAATTAGATAATAAGGTCACAGAGACACCAAAAGAATGAGGAATCTAATGATGCAAGAAAGTGACCTGTTCTTGTGCATCCGCTGTACCATATGTGACAGTTCCCTTCCTTCTAGTAGGTCTCCAGTTTCCAGCATATCAAAAATTCCAACCAGACCTTTTCTGATGATCAAATGAACAAGAAAATAGAAAGGGATAAAAATGATGAATAGAAAGTGTAAATTCAAGTATTTCTCAACAGAAGTAAGTGAAATCCAGAATGAGACATTAGATCATTCAAACCTCTATGATACATACGAAAATCTAACAAATGACAGTGTAATTAACAAACGTAGACAATAACAATGACCAAGACTTTTCTCGATTGGATTAGATGAAAAAGAGTGACCAAGCCTTTTCTCGCTTGGATTAGATGATAGAAAGTGGGTGAAAGAGAGAGAATAAAAAGAAAAAAAAATGAAAAATAAGATTGTTTACATTGAAGAGAGAATAAAAATGAATGAAAAGTGAAGAAATTTTATTTATTAAACTATTATTAATCTATTTTTCTTTCCTAAGATTATTTTTTAACTATTTATTATTATAATAGGAAAGAAATATTAATAAAATTTACATATAAATAATCTTTCTTCTCAAATCTCTTTGTCCAGGCACAGAAATAAATCATGTCTCCTTTATATTCGCTTTTCATGCATCGAGATTTGCAAATCATCGCAAAGCTGTGATCTCCTTTCCGTATGCGGAGGCAAACAAAGCCCAAGGGAGTAGGATCAAATGATATGCCAGAATATTCTATTATGAACCATTCTATAGATTAATAATTAACATCTAAATCCTTCCTGATGGATTCCTTAAAAAATTTCTCGGTCTCTCTTAAGCAATTCTCGATCTGGTCTACCGTATTTAGTTCAGCTTCAATGAGTTCTCTTACACATGTACAATGCTGAGATTTTATCATTTATTTACAATAAATACTATCCGACAGAAAAACTAGGACTCATCCAATGCGAACAGATGTAATTTACAGATTAAAGGAAGAAAAACAAGAAAAAATACTGACGTGTGGTTGAAATGTATCAGCAGCCCACAGAAAAACTATAATTATAGTTTCATGAACTCAGTACCTGTCTGGGTTGATTGTCCTGCGGTGACCTAAGAATCTTCGGTGTCCCTCAACTGCTCTTGCCATATTTCCTGAATATGACGGAACAAATACATCACTCTCTACACATATTATGTAATCAAGTGCAGCAGTCTGGGACGCATGATCTGCGAAATCTTTCAGCTCTTCAGGAGTTGCAAGAGATTCCTGTCACCATTACCAAAAATTAATCATGTCATCATTACAACTCGCAAATTATTGGATTATTTATTAACACAGAAAAACCATGATTTGCAAACCTTAAAGATTAGATTAGGAAAGCGGGATGAGAGCTCTGAAAGATGAGTGTTACCACCATAGATCTCTCCTGCTGCTATGTATATTGGTGCAGAAGGGGGATACCCAAGAGCATGAAGAAAAATGCCCACCTCCTTTGGAGTCAGTGGACAAAATCCTCCAATTCTCTGTTCTGTGGAATTTATCTTCTTTACTTTCCAATAATTTGTGTTCTCCCTAGAAGAGTTGAAACATATTTTTAAAGAATCTCAGTACACTGATTAGTTGTTCTAGAGTTATACACATGCATTCATACATACATACATACATACATACATACATACATACATACATACATACATACATACATATATTTGTCTTCAACACATACTAGCAGATACATAAAAACTGTTCTCTCTCACCTCAAAACTCTGAGCTCTTCAGATTCTGCATCTGTCAGACCATACTCACAACCAGTAAAAGACAGCATATCTTTCTCATATCTCAGATGGAGAGCAATATATTTTCCTCCATGTGATCTCAGCCTATCCACCAACCTCTGTTTTGTAACCGTCATGTATGCTCAGAACCTAATTTAACAGGAAGCCCCATGTAGACATCTTAAATGCATCAAAAGTGAAAAAGGACACCTCAAACCTGGGACCGTATGCATCATTTTCTAGCATGACTTACAAAAATACTGGACCTAAACACTCAAACTTTTGAACCTAACAACTTAGACATTCAAAATAATTAAAAAATTAAAGTTTATATTCCAATAATACACTGCTAAAAGTATCTACTGATGAGAAAACTGTCTCAGCCAGCCCTATATACCAAATTTCCCACAAAATCTTAAACTAACAATATTTAATTAGTCCTGACTCTCTCTGAGCCAGTATATCCTCTTAAATCAAACTTTACCATTTTTCCATTGTTACCCACAAGATATGTAAATGACTTTTTCTATAAATTTGGAACCAATAATAGACCGAATGCTATGTCTTTCCTTCATCTTTTGATGTGGACATAAAGACCCAAGCCCATGACGAGAAGGATCAAGACCAAGATCTAATCCAAGACTTAGGTGGACCTATGACAAGAGGCAGACTCAGAAAAACACAAGAGGCGTTACAACACAAAGTGACCAATTTGCTAAAGGTCCAACTATTAAAGGCTCTAACCGTGGAGGAGGAGTCTAGACCTATCACATGCATAAAATGCTTGGAGAGCTAGGAGGCCCAACTAAAAGATTTAGTTTTTATTATTATTATTTTATTTGCTACAGTGGGATTTGAACCCAAGACCGAAAGCTTATAATGACTTCACTGAACCATCAAAGCAACTTAACTTTGTTTGGGATATTAGGATTTTAATTTATCTTTATTTCCTGCAATGAGACAAACTCATAAACTTAAGTTGTATTAAACATTTAGAAATTCAGAATAAAGGTACATAATATTCATAATTACTTTGTGAGTTGTTGCTCTGCTAGAGTTCTTCCTTGCATCATTTGATCTTATCAAGAATTATCCAATTCTTGTGGCGATCCTTCTTGGCTTATCAAATATTCTTATTTGTGACGCCTACGGTATCCTTTATTTTTTTTTCTGTTTTCTATTTCCAATCAAATCACCTCCCAAAACCTAACCCTAAATTGTTTCCCTTCTATTCGAGTGTCGTCATTTGGTATCAGAGCAAGGTTCAAAAGCGGTACTGTTCATCGCACTATTCACGGTACTGTTCATCGGCACTATTCACGGTACTATTCGTTGGCACTATTCATTTGTCACTGTTCACGTGTACTGTTCAAAAAAAAAAACCCGTTGTTTATGCAATTTTGATATTGAATTTGATTTTATATATATATATATATATATATATATATATATATATATCAAAGTTGTGTTTGAAATTAGTTTTCTGCAGAAAAGAATAAAAAAAAAAAGAATCAAAAAAGAAAAAAATATATATGTGGCAGTTGTACTTCTTTTAAATTTCAGTGCGCATTAGCTGTTTGATAAAATTCCTAAGTGTCAAGCATCTTTGTCTAATCTTTGTTTTCCCATACAGTTTAGATTTGTCTTGTTTGTTGTTAGTAGTAAAATTATTCTTTGCTACTTGTCCTTTGTTGGTACTACAATTCTATTTTATTCCTTGTGATTGCTACAGTTGAAAGTGATTCTTGAACTATAGATTGTTTGATTCTTGTAAGAACCATAAGTCAGAGAATGAGTGGAAAAAGGCAAGAGTACATATTATACAAAAGCCAAATTGAGAGTAAAAACAAGTGGTACATCTTTGAGTGCAAATACGTGAGAAGAGTGGTGAGGTCCTATTACTTCATTGGTTTGGTCCTTTCTTTTTTTACTTGAAAGATGGCAGGTACAGGTGGTGGTGGTACCCCTCCTCTGGGGGGTGATAATAGATTGTTGATTGATGCCATTACAACCCCAAATGCAAAGAATGTTGACAGAGCATACCGAAGAGTTGTATAGGAGAATTAAACAACTAGAAAATCAAGGAAATGATGATGATAGTTGAGGTAGAAGGAGGAGAAGGAGATATAATGAAGGTGATGCTAGAGAGAACAGAATTGAAGGAGTAAAGCTGAACATACCCCATTTTCAAGGAAAGAGTGATCCATAAGCATATTTGCACCTTTGGTTCCAAGAGAAGTTAGTGAGGATCAACTAAAAATGAGAAAGAAAAGAAAAGAAGAAAGAAAAGAAAAAGAGAGAGAAAAGAGAAAAGAAAAAGGAAAAAGAGGGTGAAAAAGAGAAAGAGAAAAAAAAAAATCAAATTTGTTTATAAAAGAAAAAGAAGTCAAAAGGGCTATGCAATTGAGAAAGTCAATACTTTTACTTTTGAGTAAAGAAAGTAATTCAAACAGTCCATGTTCTACTAACTCTCTTCCAAAAGAGGTTTCTTCTTTGTTACAGGATTTTGAAGATGTTTTTCCCAAAGAAGTGCCTATAGGTCTACCCCCTCTTAGGGGTATTGAGCATCAAATTGACCTTATTCCAGGAGCTTCATTGCCTAATAGACCAGCCTATTGAAGCAATCCCAAAGAAACCAAGGAGATTCAAAAGCAAATTAAAGACTTAATGCAAAAGGGGTGGGTTAAAGAAAGCTTGAGTCCATGTACAGTCCCAGTCATTCTAGTTCCTAAGAAAGATGGAACTTGGAGGATGTGCACAGATTGTAGAGTTATCAATAACATCACGGTAAAGTATAGACATCCCATTCTTAGGTTAGATGACTTGTTGGATGAATTGTATGGTGCTTGTATCTTCTCTAAAATTGACTTGAAAAGTAGATATCATCAAATTAGAATTAGAGAAGGAGATGAGTGGAAAACAACTTTTAAAACTAAATATGGGTTGTATGAGTGGCTAGTTATGCCCTTTGGGTTAACTAATGCTTCAAGCACTTTTATGAGATTGATGAACCATGTCTTGAAAGAGTTTTTAGGCAAATGTGTAATGGTATATTTTGATGATATTCTGATATATAGCACTAATTTTGATTTACATGTTGAACATTTGCATGCTATCATGAATGTGCTTAGAAAGGAAAAATTGTTTGCTAATATTGAAAAATGTACCTTTTGCACTAATCATGTGTTCTTGGGATTTGTTGTGAGTTCTAAAAGGATACAAGTTGATGAGGAAAAGATTAGAGTCATCCAAGAGTGGCCTACCTCTAAGAATGTGAGTGAAGTAAGAAGCTTTCATGAATTAGCTAGTTTCTATAAGAGGTTTGTTAAAGACTTTAGTACTTTGGCTGCACCTCTTAATGAAATAGTCAAAAAGCATGTTAGGTTTAAATGGGGTGAAAAACAAGAAAGGACATTTTCTGAACTTAAGCACAAACTATCTAATGTCCCCATTCTTGCATTACCAAATTTTGCAAAATCTTTTGAAATTGAATGTGATGCATCTAATGTGGGTATTGGGGCTGTTTTGCTACAAGAAGGTCATCCAATTGCTTATTTTAGTGAGAAGTTGAACGGGGCTGCCCTAAACTATCCCACCTATGATAAGGAATTGTATGCCTTAGTGCGTGCTTTACAAACTTGGCAGCATTACCTTTTACCAAAAGAGTTTGTAATTCATAGTAATCATGAATCTCTGAAATACTTAAAGGGACAAGGTAAGTTAAAAAAGAGGCATGTCAAATGGATTGAGTTCTTGGAGCAATTTCCATATGTCATCAAGCATAAAAAAGGAAAAGGGAATGTAGTAATTGATGCACTTTCTAGGAGACATGCATTACTTTCTATGCTTGAAACTAAATTGTTTGGTCTTGAATCTTTGAAAGACATGTATATGAATAATGTGGATTTTGCTGAAACTTTTGCTGCATGTGAAAGGTTTTCTAAAAATGGTTACTTTAGGCATAATGGATTCTTGTTTAAAGAAAATAAATTGTGTGTGCCTAAATGTTCCATTAGAGAGTTGCTTGTGAGTAAATCACATGAAGGGTGTTTGATGAGTCATTTTGGGGTTCAAAAGACTTTAGAAATTTTGCAAGAGCATTTCTTTTGGCCTCATATGAAACGTGATGTGAATAAGTTTTATGATCACTGCATTGTGTGTAAAAAGGCTAAATCTAAGGTTAAGCCTCATGGGTTGTATACTCCTTTACCTGTTCTTGAATATCCTTGGACTGACATTTTTATGGACTTTATTTTGGGGCTGCCTAAAACAAAGAATGGAAAGGATTCTGTGTTTTTTGTTGTTGATAGGTTTTCTAAGATGACACACTTCATACCTTGCAAGAAGGTAGATGATGCTTGTCATGTGGCTGATTTGTTTTTCAAGGAAGTAGTAAGGCTACATGGGTTGTCGAGGAGCATTGTGAGTAATAGGGATTCAAAATTCCTTAGTCACTTTTGGAGGACCTTGTGGGGTAAGATTGGTACTAAATTATTATTTTCTACTACTTGTCACCCATAAACTGATGGTCAAACTGAGGTAGTCAATAGGACTTTAGGCACATTGCTTAGGACTATATTAAAGAAAAATCTTAAGACTTGGGAAACATGTTTACCGCATGTTGAGTTTGCTTAAAATCAGGTTATCCATTGCACCACTAATTGTTCACCATTTGAGATTGTGTATGGATTTAATCCTTTGACTCCTCTTGATTTGTTGCCTTTGCCTAACATTTCTATGTTTAAGCATAAGGAAGCACAGGCTAAAACAGAATATGTAAAGAAGTTGCACGAGCAAGTAAAAACTCAAATTGAAAAGAAGAATGAGAAGGGTAGGAAAAAGGTGGTGTTCCAACCCGGTGATTGGGTTTGGGTACACATGAGAAAGGAACTGAACAAAGAAAGTCTAAACTTCAACCTAGAGGAGATGGGTTATTCCAAGTCTTAGAGAAAATCAATGATAATGCTTACAAGATTGATCTACCAGAAGAATATAATGTAAGTTCTTCTTTTAATGTTACTGACTTGACTCCTTTTGATGCAGGAGATGAATTCATAGATTTGAGGTCAAATGCTACCCAAGAAGGAGCGAATGATGTGGACATAAAAGCCCAAGCCCATGACGAGAAGGATCAAGACCAAGATCCAATCCAAGACTTAGGTGGACCTATGACAAGAGGCAGACTTAGAAAAGCACAAGAGGCGTTGCAACACAAAGTGACCAATTTGCTAAAGGTCGTCCAACTATTAAAGGCTCTAAACGTGGAGGAGGAGTCTAGACCTATCACATGCATAAAATGCTTGGAGAGCTAAGAGACCCAACTAAAAGATTTAGTTTTTATTATTATTATTTTATTTGCTACAGTGGGGATTTGAACCCAAGACCAAAAGCTTATAATGACTTCATTGGACCATCAAGGCAACTTAACTTTGTTTGGGATATTAGGATTTTAATTTATCTTTATTTCCTACAATGAGACAAACTCATAAACTTAAGTTGTATTAAACATTTGGAAATTCAGAATGAAAGTACATAATATTCAGAATCACTTTGTGAGTTGTTGCTCTGCTAGGATTCTTCCTTGCATCATTTGATCTTATCAAGAATTATCCAATTCTTGTGGCGATCCTTCTTGGCTTATCAAATATTCTTATTTGTGGTGCCTACGGTATCCTTTATTTTTTTTTTGTTTTCTATTTCCAATCAAATCACCTCCCAGAACCTAACCCTAAATTGTTTCCCTTCTATTCGAGTGTCGTCATTTGGTATCAAGTGCAACCATTTTGCCTCTTGATTTTCCAGATATTTAGGCACAAATTAAAGAAAAATTCATATTTCGTTTCAATATGTATCCTTTCAAATGCATTATTTTCTTCAGTTACTTTTTTTAAATAAAGAAAAAAAAAATAGAAAAGGAAGTTGAACCTGTCATTGCCTCTTTAATGTTCATTCCATCATCATTTTATCAATTACTAAATTCATGATGTACACATAATAGTTTTGCAAGACATTTAGGATGCTAATGACACCACTAAAAAGAAGCCAAACCTTTCCTAAATTCTCAATAGGAGGAGAAAATTGAAGTGCATGATACATTGCACGGCATCTCAACCTCTGTATGTCCAGAGGAAGATCATTGTTTGCAAGTCGAGAATCTGATTTTGCAACATGTATCACCTGGAAGAACAAATCATTATTCGTTCAATACATTTTGATTATGAACAAGGTCCAAGTCCAAAGTGTGAATTTTAATGATCATGGAAACACAATGACAAATATGATGATCACTTAGGGAGCATGAACATAGATTAGAAATTCCCTTCACCGAAAAGAGGCATTAAGTTTGTACATATCCCACAAGTAAGCAATACCAAATTGTCAGAAAAAAATATAATGTGGTCCTTAATTCCTAAAACAGACATGTTTCAGAAAATACTAAAGGATAATCATTGTGTATTCTTCAAATATTATTATACTCACCCATAAAATATGTATCATGTCATTTTTTTTAAATGAACTAAAATCTGCTTGGGTATAACTATGAATTCTTGTAAGAACATTGTATATTCTAATTCTCTGGTGGTAAAAGGCATTACATACTTTTAGATTTATAACACTCCCTGAAAATTATACCTACCCATCATATTCCAATTACAACTAATTTTCAAAGTTCAAACTTGAGATTTAGATTTAAGCAAGAAAATCTATGTAAGCCAATTAGAAAGTTTTACAACAAGGGCACTCCAGAAATGAGAACCACAAGAAGTTGAAGATCATATAGGAAAAGCTTGAGTACCTGATACTCACTCCATAACCTTCTCATATCTACATAGTAACCAAATCCAGACCAGGAAGTAAAGTGTTTCCTGGCCCGGGGGATACCTTCCAAATTTTTGGGAAGCTCACTAACAATCCTGATATCACCTTTCAGGGATTCAATGAAATGAAGCTCGTCAAATATATCTGAAAATACACTGCACACACACCCAATAAGAAGACGAAGTTGGAAAAGGATACATCACATCTAAAAGTAGCGTATACCCAGAGATACCTTGAGTCTTTCCAGAATGAACGTTTATCCAATTGAGGAATGACTAAAGTTGCATTCATTATATGTGCCACAGCCACCATGTCCGATATCTATAGAAAAACTGAATGATTACTTAGAATGCAAATAAATCATAAAAAAAAAAAAACAATTGGTTTCACTCAGTGACTACAAATCTTAGAATAGGTGCCATCAGTGCAAACTGAAACCCTCACACATAAAAGACAAAACATAACGTGAACTTCATTTCACCATAACAATGCATCATATTTAACATAAATAATGAACTGCTGATGTATTGAATGAATGCAAAAAAAAAAAAAAAAAACAAAATGTTCACAATTGTCAAAAGAGAAAGCATAATAAAGACAACAACAAATAAGCATTAAATCCCAGCCTCTGATGACAAAAGTAACTCAAAATCCTAGACAGATACAAGAAAGTTTAAGTAGTAACTCTTGTGTACTGAAGTTTGAAACTGTAATTGGATGTAAATATTTGCTATACATGCAGTTACAAGCATAAGGGCACAATTAAGCTATTATATAAGAGTTACAAGACAGTGCAAGAGAGGGAAAAGTGACTTACACCAGTACGCATTTGATTTAGTCCACCGTTACTTCTCACAGTTAAATAGCGATCAAATCCTTTGGCAGCTGATGACATGAAAATGTGAAACATATTTAAGAGAAAGGAAGAGTGAAAATATAAGGACAACAACACTGCTATGGTTTCCAAACAACCAGTTAAAGAAGTGTCTGGGAAAAATGAACAAGTGGAACCAAGTGAAAAAAAAAAAAACTAAGCAAAAAGGCTATTACATTAATAAATGTTAACATCTGAAACCTTTATATTTAGCAGTTGGCTCAACACATTGGTGTAAGCCATGATTAAACGGAGAATCCCAAAGTTCCTTCTTATAGGGCACATGTAACTCTGGTACCTATAACAATTTGCAACAAATGTAGCAGTTATTGAGTGTGAATAAGGGACGAAAAAGAAAAAAGAAGCCTGAACTGGCAGAATGCTAGCTCATATAGCTAGAACCAGCAAAACTGGCTGATACCATTACAAAATTAAAAATCAATACTCTTAAATATGTAACTAAACAATTACTTTGCGTACACATATTAGTACCAGCAATGCTTTTTTGAGAGAGACAAATATCGGAGGACAAGAATGAAGAAAAGGGATGACTATGACCCATTCTGCCTATCAATTATCAAAATTGTTAAATTCCACAACTGCACAAACTTACCTCTCTACAGAAAATATTTTTTTTTTTTTCTCATTTGTTTGACGTAGAAATTTACTTAAGACAATTTAACAAAGCCAGTCTGATTTGGATCTTTAATACCAGTCATGTAAATGAGATCAATGGATCGAAGAAGATTGAGGAAACCCACGAATTCCTTCCTGATGAGAAAGTATTGGAAATTATTGAAAGAATAAATAGGGAATAGCTGCATACCTGGTGAGATATAAATTGTTGAGAAAGGACAGGATGTCGTGGATCTTCATCATCACTGATGTTCCTCACATACAACAAGAATACCAAGATGGAGAAAGAAAATATGAACATGGTATAGAAAGTGATAACTCTTGGAGATAGCTTTCTAGCATGGAATCTACCAGTCATGAGGCTGATAGAACCATACGAGCCTCTGCTTACCATCTCTGCCCTCACTTTTTTTCCTTTTTACCCAAAGTGATGAACCCTCATCTGTATAAATCAAGTCTGACAGGGTTATAACTGTCCAGAAAAAAGAACAAACAATAACTATTCCATGCTTACAAGTACAACGATCACTATTCATCAATGATCCAGTAACATGCACGATTAAATGATTATTTTGCCCCACTTAATATTGCCAGTTGCCATGATATTATCGAACTTTTAAAACTTATCAGAAGTCAGTTACTTAGCTACATTGATTCAGCCATTAGCTCATCAATTAAAGTGGTGGCCTAGCCAATATGACATGGTATATATTGGTGTGACTTTTTAGGTTGTTATGGAGTTATCTAGGGGCGGGGCAGGGTTGAGGGAAAAAAATTCCAAACCAATCAAAACACGCAATGTCCCAATTCTGTCTTCTTTAGTTTTGGAAATTTTTCTAGTTTAATATGTACCTAACAATTGGGATAAAAAAAAAATTAGATTCATTTGGATTGGATATTTGACTTGGCTTTCTTTCTTTCTTTCTTTCTTTACTTTACATATTTCATAAAAAATAAAGTAAAAGTATATAGGAGAAATTGCAAAAAGAAAAGTTACTTGTCCATTAGGACAGACATTCATATCTTGAAGATTATTAAAATGGAAATTAACACACCAAAAACTAATATTCAAAAGCTACATGACACTTGGGTAATGATTGGTAACCGTATTTTCCACTATGAAGCCTACAAGTTTAGAACCCAAAAGCAAGAAGAAGAAAAAAAAAAAAAAAAAAAGACATATATAGAAGCAATCACTTCCAATAGATAACACAGGCATTTTACAATATTCATTATATATTACAAGGAATAAAATAACAGAATAGGAGAAAAAGCAATTAACACTTCCACAATCAAAATTGTAATCATCTTATCATACATACAGTCCCAACTTAAATAATATTCAAAAGCTACATGACACTTGGGTAATGATTGGTAACCGTATTTTCCACTATGAAGCCTACAAGTTTAGAACCCAAAAGCAAGAAGAAAAAAAATAAAGACATATATAGAAGCAATCACTTCCAATAGATAACACAGGCCTTTTACAATATTCATTACATATTACAAGGAATAAAATAACAGAATAGGAGAAAAAGTAATTAACACTTCCACAATCAAAATTGTAATCATCTTATCATACATACAGTCCCAACTTACTTCAGATTTATTTTTCTTTACAAACTGATATCATAGTAAATTGGGAAGACTCAAACCAGCAACTTCATAAAGTAAATGAACAAAATACAAATTCACTATTCCCGCAACATAAAATGTTACAACATCACTATAAATCCACTACTTCATATACCACAATAAAGTAACTATAACACAGCATGTTTTAATTATTAGCAACAAAAGAAACATATTTTCATAGAGACACATATAACACTCACGGATTGTCAATTGTCGGCGATGGCGGAGCTATTCCTCCGCTTATTTCGTTTGTTCTTTCTTTCTCCTGGAACACGGAGAAAATCACTAAACAGTACAGAGAAAATAATTAACAATGGTGCCCTTGCACCGAATTAAGAAGACGAAGAAATCACCTGAGAAGCAAAGTTGAGATGATCAAGACAAAGTTGACAGGGTTTTGGTGCTTGGAGGAGTTTGGCGGTCAGATTCAGAAGTCACGAGAGGTGAAATAGGATTGAACTAAAACGAACAAGGTCAGATTGACTCAGATCTGATTTTGAGCAAAGCGATGGACGTTACCAAGACGAAACGGAGAAAGAAATGAAGCAGCCCAAACACTTGTTATAGGTAATTGATTTGTTCATTTACGTTTAACCCGTTACTCCTCCAACCGACGCGAATTTTGTGCTCGGTCATAATTTTTTTCTAAGATAAATTTAATTTAAAGATATTTTTTCTATTTTTAAAATAATTATACTACAATATATCCAAAAAGGACATTTATTTTACCATTTCATCACGATTTAATTGATTAATAAAACTAACATATCCTAATTAGGTGATATATTAATATATATTTGTATGTATATTAATTCTAGTTTAATGATTTTTAAAACTCATGCAAATTCATATATTTTAATTTTAGATTAATAATTTTATAAAAAGCCTTTATGAAAATGAAATATCAAAACTTATACTAAGCAAATGAAAGTTTCGTACTATATTTTCAATTATTTTTTAGAGTCCTAAACTTTTCATATCTAATCTATTTTGATTTATCTCTTTACTAAAAACAGGTCAAAAATAAATAAATAAAACTCACATATAATTTTAAATAGAGACAAAACCAAGAATAATAGATAAAAAGAATCATACATGACAATTAATTATCATATAAAAATAAATATATGATATAACATATTTATTGTCATATTCAATCTTATTAATTAAATTTAAATCTTAAAAAATAAATATGCTTTATCATTTATCTTTTTATTTTCTTTAAAAATATTTTATAATTTTCTTTTTATACACCTTCGATTTATATTTTTTTCTTTTATAATTTAACATCAAAATAAAATATAAAAAACATGAAAATAATTAATTAATTAATAACACATGATAAATTTATATCAATATTTTATATTTTTATATAACACTATATACTAATTTGTTATAATAATAAATAAAAATAATAATTTTTACTTTTTTTTAATGAAATTATGGTAAGATATCTCTTTTATTTTTATTTTTATTTTTAACTTTCTTACCTTATGACTGTATTGTTATCAGAAGAAAAACAAAAACTAATAAAGTTAGAGAATAAAGAAATTACAATTTTTTTTCTGTAAAGATAAAAACTTACAAATTTTATTATGTAAGATGAAAGAATGAAAGAGAAGAATATAAAAATGAATTAATCGTATAAAAAAGATAAAAATATAAAAAGACAAAATTAATATGAGATAGAAAGAATTGAAATGAGAAAAATGAAAAAACGAGAGGAAAATAAAGTGAAGAAAGTGTATAAAAAATAAAAGATATTTTTTTATTATTTTATATTCACTAAAATAAATTAAAAAATATAAATAAAAGAGAATAGAGGAGATAATATATATATATATATATATATATATATATATATATATATTATGTTTTTCTTCTTTTATGATAAAAAAATATCGTTTATAAATTATTATAGATAAATATTTAATAATGTATTTGTTAATTAGCTCATAAAAATAAAATGACAAAAATTAATAATTTAAAACTTATATAAAATTGTATTTACAAATCAATAACTTTTGCTATATATTATACTCTCAATTATCATATTTGTTTATACTGTATATTACATTATTCATCGTAGATCATGTCTTAAAATATGATATAAAAAAATTCATCTATCAATATCTTGTAAGTAGACACTATACTTTATTATGTTAATTAAAAAATATATGGAAAATAATATAATGACTGAAATAAATAATAAATTATTAATTATTTAAAAGTTTACTATTATATTTCATTATCAATATCTTATGTGATAAAAAAATCTTATATAAATAATAAAGTTGGACCTTGTACGAATATATATATATATATATATATATATATATATATAATGAAAATATATCTTATACAAAATTACTTATTTATATGTATTTGGGAAGTTCTAGTTCGTCTAACTAATTCATTTTCCTATGTCTAATTAACATGTATATTATTTTTTAAAATTTTAATAATAATAATAATAATTTTAACCACCATAAAAAATTATATTAATTCAATATTTTTATTTTTTATAACTATAACACTTTAAATTTTCTCATATAAAAAATTAAATACAATATATTAAATTATAATATTTTTGAGTAATTTAAATATTTTTATATATTATTAAAAAATATTAATTATTAATATATATATATATATAATTATTAATTAATTAAAAAATTATATATATATATATATATATATATATATATATATAAAGATATGAATCTTATCTAAGATAAGTTTTAATTAATGTTAAGATAAAAAAACAAAAAATATCCAAAATATTAAGGTGGAAACAACAAGGAAATTTAGCTGGATAGATAAGAGGGAAGGGAGGGGAAGGGAGGGGGACGCGTTAACTTACGTAAAAAAAAAAAAATAAGAAGAGAGAAAGGAAGAGAGAAAGAGTAAGAAAGGGAGGAAGACAAAACAAAAGAAAAAAGTTTGTCTGCCCATTAACAAATAACAAAAAGAAAGCCAATTCATAGCGCAAGAAGGAGAAAGGAAGGGTAGGAGGTATCCAGTAGAATGCTAGGAGACAAAATAAGAGGCCCTCTCCACACATCCTGCAGATGAACCCGCTATCTACAACCTTATTAAGGTAGGAGAGAAGATATTATCTACAACCTTATTAAGGTAGGAGAGAAGATATTATTATTTTATTTATTTTATTTCTAATTATAGTTATGAAGTGAATTATCTTTAATTTTATTTTATTTATTCAGTTATATTTTATCTATTTCTAGTTATACAATGATCTTATTTTCATTTTATTTATTCAATTATATTTTATTTATTTTTAGTTATATAATGATCTTATTTTATTTATCTCAAGTTATATATTGATTTTGTTTTATATTATTTATTTATTTTTGTTTATGCACTAATTACCATTTATATTTATATATCTTCAATTACACAACGATATTCATTTATTTTTATTTATTTTATATCTAGTTACACACTTATTCTAATTTATATTTATTTATTTATCTCCAGTTACACATTGATCATCTTTTATATTTATGTTTATTCCTAGTTTTGCATGGGTCCTTATTTGTTAATTTATTTTTATATTATTTAATTATTTTTAAATAATAATATTTATTTGTGAAGATTTGATGATATTATAAATGGAGGTTGAACTTTAGGGATTAAAATGAGTAAACCTCACTTAGAGAGTAATTAAATTTGACTTATTTATTATAACTAATCACTACAAATTTAATTCAAGTCTTGATAATATAAAATAAATGGAGT